CAATTGATACGCACACAGCTTCTGTGAGTACAAACGTGTGCACCAGCACCAGAAGTACAGCTGTAGTAGATAAAAGTCTCCTCTGCAGTTGCTTTCATGGGTAGTCGTGGAACTCGTTGTACGCTCACAAATGGAGGTGACAGCAGATGGATCTCTTACGCGTGATCTGCTGGGTTGACGTCACTCACCCGTTGGCTGCCGCAGCTACATACAGATGCACACACAGGGAGAGATGCACACACACAGCTCTGTCAGCTACAAACGTGTGCACCTCCATCAGCAGTACCTGTGAATGTGTGTGCCTATGATGCGTGGTCGTACGTGCGAGCCGTTGCACGCTTTACTGCTGTGCATGTAGTCACACAGCAGTCTACTGCTGTTTGTTGGCCATAGTTTGGCTAGTCCACCGCACGTGTAGTCGTATGCTAGGTCAAACTACCCCCCCCTCGAGCCAGCGCGTGGTTTGCTGGATTCACCACACGGGTGGTATGCTTGGTCCACCGCACGCGTTGTCTGCTGGGTCACCATACGAGTGCCGGGGGGGGGTCAACCCCCCCTCGGACCCCCCCCCTCGAGCCAGCGCGTGGTCTGCTAAGTCGTAATGTATGTACTGTATTTTTAAAAAAAGAAAACAGAGAAAAAGAGAAAAATATACAATAAGGAAACAGGTAGTAGGGAAAGAGAAAATGAAATGAAAAAGAGCGAGGACAAGCAGGGACCAGGCCGAAGATAACAAGAAATAAGAGACAGAAAAAGGCACACGGTGGAGAGGCCATGAACGAACAAGCAAACACGCAAACATGGCCACCAACCATCGATACATTGATGGTACAGTCGACCCCGCTTTAAGGAAACCAAAATTAAGGAAACTCCCCGGGTAAAGGAAAGGAAACAATTTTTCGCCGAAACACAATACCCCGCAGAATGTAAATTAAACGGGGGGTCCATATTCTAGTCCGCGGAACCCCCTTACAGCACGATTTCAGCGTACCCTCTTCGCCAGCAGAGAGGTCTGCTGCTTCACCTGCTGTCTGCGGTATGCAAAGATTCGTTTCACCTACCGGTGCGTCCTCTGCACCCATGTTAAAACGGTGTGGAGAACCCACGTGCACGATCACGAAGCTCGTGTCGGGTATCCAAACATGCCCGTGCGGTCGATGAATGCACGCGTTTTGTGGTCGCGGCATCGGGAAGGAAGGCTACGGACAGCAGAGGGAGTGCACGGAATGTCAGAAGTCGTAGCGTTGAGTGTTTGCGGTTTGTCGGCCATACGCCGTATTGTGTGCTTGTGTCTGAATGGCGCTCCAGTAGAGAGTAACGCAGGAGAGTTTCTGCGTGCGCTCCCCCAGGGGTAAACAAGAGTCACCAGGTGAATTCGAAGTGTCCATCAGGTATTTTCCGTGCTGTGTGGTGGTGTTCAGCAATAAACAATTATTTTCTCGCCGACTCCCAGCCTCTTTTTTGATTCCAACAATGCCCTGCCCAGGGCGCACCTTTTGACGATGTACCGCCACCATTGACCCCGGGGATGGTGCGTTCTGATCCCCTGAAGTTTAAGGAAACTTCCCCGCGTTAAGGAAACATTTTTCGAAGCAAAACCATATGTTTCCTTAAAGCGGGGTCGACTGTACGTCATCTCTAGTGGGGGGTTGGTGCATTGGTGCAGCGTTGGGGGGAGGATTGGCTAAAAGAAATTCAATCCGAGACGTATCGCGCCACTCGGTCCGTCTATNTGTTCAGCAATAAACAATTATTTTCTCGCCGACTCCCAGCCTCTTTTTTGATTCCAACAATGCCCTGCCCAGGGCGCACCTTTTGACGATGTACCGCCACCATTGACCCCGGGGATGGTGCGTTCTGATCCCCTGAAGTTTAAGGAAACTTCCCCGCCTTAAGGANTTGCTTTCTTCCCTCGCCGTCTCGTCCGTCTCCTGCCCCCCTCCCGCCCCATTGGTTGTTGGCTTGTGGCTTCGTTTGAGCGCCCGTTGTCGGCTGGCCTCTTCTTCCTTCTCGTGCCAGGAGGTCATGAACAAGACGTGTCAATCGGAACCCCGCAAACAATAGCGCAACGAACGGCGCACCAGCAGAGAAGTATATTCGTATTCACACGATACATTACATTAGCCCCCCTTCTGCACAAAGAATGAACAGACATGCAACGGTTTTCCATTAGGAACTTACCGGTAACCAGCGTCGTTTACGCTCTTTTACGCGAACACCGGCTCTGTGCGGTCATGTTCTCATTGACGGGGGTGATTTTTCAGCGATACAGGCAGTTTGGCACATTATGGAACGACTTTGGCGGAGGCGGTAAGAGCGAAGAAAAGGCGGGTATTTTTCGGCGGTACGGATTTTTGTGGCGGTATTGTATCCATAAAAGGTTGGCGTTTATTGCCGGTAACGACGACTCGGTTGGACCAATACGGACATTAGAAGGTACTGAGTGGAGATACCGGAAAGGTGTTTTATGTGAATGCATCAACAACACCACCACTAACAACAGCAACAACGACCCTGGCGGAGATGGTAAAAACCGAATTGTGCCGGTAAACTTGCAGTCTTGCCGGGACCGCCCACCCTCGGCCGTAATCTGACGTGGGGAAAATCACCAACCCATGCCCTTGAGATACTGAACGCAGCTTGGACCGGAAACGAAAGTGCTGCTGTTGCTGTCGAAATTGTGGATGGTGTCGCGTACATGCACGCAGACTCTGCTGGGATCATTGCACGCACGCTCGTGTTGAAAGGCCTTGATCGTGCAAAATAATGGTAGATTCAGCAGTAGCACCATCTAGCCACCACCAGCTGCTGGTGCTACTGCTGATGCCATGATGGGTGCTCGGTCTTTCACCCTCTCCAACACTCCGTTCCACGACACCATTCACGTCTCCCCCCCCGGTGTGCGCATGTTTTGCCCCATCCCTATTAACTTCGATGTATGTAACGTGATGTCGAAAAGTTTCGTGTTTTCGTAACCACCATCGTGCCTTTTTGCCCCATGCCTGTGCCGACATATACGCATCACGTACATTGTGTCGAAAAAGTCCATGCTTTCGCTACCGCCCGCATCACGCCTTCGCGTCACTTTCTTTGCACCGTCCGTCACTTTCTTCGCACCACCACCGGGGGTTCGCAGGAAGCATCTGACGGTCGTTTCGGCGGTGAGCGGGTTGCTGTTCGGCCTGTTCTGCGTCAACGAGATCCTGCCGCAGTTCGGTGAGAATCAGCCAGTCGAACCCCCCCCCCCCCCCCCNTCTTTTCTCTTGTCGTCACAAGATTCGTATGATACATGAACCAGTTGGAGACTTTTGCGCGGTTCGTGTCCGATCCCTCCCACCTTTTGATCCCAGTGTTTCGTATGTTTAAGAAGATGTTTGAGTCCGTCGCGGGGTGCGCTCGTTTCGTGGACGTAGATCCGCGTGCCCGGAACGGAGAAATTACTCTCAGAAAGTAGCGTCATCCTTACATCACTTTTCCTGCACCTGACGCTCGTTTTTTCTTTGTTTCTTTTTCCCCGGTTTCGGTCAGACGATGACGGTTTCCTGTGCTTCATGGCCGGGATCTGGATCTCCGCCATAGGCGCCGTCGTGGGCAGCACCGTGGCCGTGCTCGTCGCGAGGGCATCTGTGGGGACTTGCCTCGGCTGCCTCGCGGGCGTGTTCCTTGTGCTGGTCGACGACCGTTCGTTGTTTCGGTCTCAGGCGGCGGTGTCCCTGCTGTTCGGCGCGCTCATCGCCGTCGGAGTCGCGTTCTCCTGGCACCAGGTGGGGGGGCCGGGCAGTCCAGCAGTAACCTTGGCAGGGTCGTTTCGATCAAGAAAAAAGTGTTGGATAGATCATGTAACCGGGGGGGGGGGGGGGGNGGGGGGGGGGGGGGGGGGGGGGGGGGGGGGGGGGGGGGGGGGGGGGGGGGGGGGGGGGGGGGGTCTGCGTAACCCCTCCCTGTCCCATTTCCTCATTGGCTTAGTTTCTCGCGAAGGGAGTCCGGGGCACGTTGTGGGGCGGAGAGATGGCCCCCCCCCCCCCCAAGCAGACCGATTTTCAGATCTCGACTACTCCGCAGCCAAAGATTGTGCCAATATTGGTGGGTTTTGGAAACATGTAATGGAGAGCCCTTCTTCGTCGACGTGTCGGAGCGGTTTCCGCGCCCCCGTTGGTTGTGGAGCAATCGATTTGTTTTTTGAAGTTGGTCTAGTTACAGGAGGGCTGCCATATCTCCGCCTGTTGCGTATTCCGGCGTATGTGCGTGCGTTTGTTGCGCGGGGAGGAAGGTCGCGTGCGGTTTTCCTTTGAGCTGGTATGTGGACGGTCGGCTGCGATGATCCTTCGGCTGTGTTTTTTTGTTTCGTTTTTGACGAAGAGTCTCAGATGGTTTTTTTTTCACCCGACCGATTGATTTCTCTGGCCTCGGTGGTGGTCTCTCTGTCTTCCGCTTCGTGGTTCGCTGGCTGCGTTTGGTGGACGGGGTTGCGGAGGACGGGGCGCTTGGTTTCGTTCACTGGGATGATCTGCACCAAGGTTTCGGTTTCGAACCGCTGCCGTCTCCTCCCCCCCCCTCTCGCTCTGTGCCTCTGTCTCTGCATCTGTCTCTCTGTCTGTCCCTCTGGTTCTCTTGCGCGTCTCTGCCCTAGGCATATGAGAGCAACAAACCCTCGCTATATCGATGATGTTGACACTAGATCGCTCGTTTCTTTCTTGTCCTCTGGCTCTCTCTCTCTGTCTCTGCTTGTTCTCAATGTTATTCCAGGAAAGAGCTAGCGCGATCGTCATGACCTCAGCGGCGGGGGGTCTCGTGATAGCTTGCGGCACGGACCTGGTTCTCGAGAGGAGCTTGATTTTCGGCGTCGTGAACATCCTGCAGATGACGTAAGTTCCTTTGTTCGAGGACATGCGTTGAAACTCTTGGATCCTCTTTTTGTTTTTGGCTATGTTCCCTGGTCGTGGTGGCGGTGATTGACCATGGTTTGTTGTGTATTGTTGGAATCGCCATCGTCTACTGAGCATCAATGAATCACCGGTATTGCTTCGGTAGCTGTGTCGTTGCAACGGTCGACTCAGCTTTCAGGACAACCCCAGCCACTGTATTTGTTGGTTCATCGCTCTTTATTCTCCACAAGCATCCTCCCGTGTACTGGCATGTTTTTTTTTTTGCACACGAAACGCTCGTGTTCGATCCGCATCCCCCCCTACCCCCCCTCCCTCTGGCACGCATCCCCCCGCATCTGCCACGCGTGTGTGTTTGATTTGGCCCCGGATATGATCGAGGCAGGTGGTCGGAAGGGAAGCACTGCTGGGGGGAGTGCCACATGCCGTTGCTGATATTCGAGTGGGCCGTGCTCACGGTCTTGGGAATCGCTGTCCAGGCAAGAGGGGGCGGCGGCGCCGGAAAATAACTGGGCTGTGTTCCGTGGGGGCTCCGTATGCGCGTGCGACTCGTGTAGCGTGTGCAGGGTTGTTCACCGTACTTTGTATGGTAGCTTTTTCCGTGTGCCTCTGCATGAAGAACTACACACACAGTAAGGCGAGACGTTTCTCCTCCCATGCCTATCCCTCCCTGCCGAAGTCTTGCGAGTGCCCCGACTTTCTTGTGACGCGCGGTGCCACTAGTGTGCAGCTGTCGCCTCCCTCCCAGCCCAAGAATGAGAAAATACTCGAAAATCGAACCAGAACATGCGCAAAGACGGTTTTATTTGGGCCCGAAACCAGAAAACGAAAATCCCAGCCTGACTCGTGTGCGTATCGTGAACAATTTTTCATAAAAAGCTGCACGGACAGCTAGCTGGACGCGCGAACGAAAAAAAATGCGCCTCAACCGTTATTTTTTACCAATAACACGCAAACACAGGGCCACGCCTCGGGCGCCATCTCGCCGGTGGCGTTCCTACAGCGCTGGTGCGGGCTTTGCGGCGGCGTCAACCCTTATGCGCGCGTCGCTGGCGAGGACGGCGGTGCGTCCGCCGCCGCCGCCGCGCCGGGAGGCCGGGGTAGGGTGGGCGCGGCGGCTAGGGGGAAGAGGACCACCTGGACGTACCCGGACAACCATAACTCGTGGAACTACTTTGACACGGACGCGCTTCCGCACGGGCTTAGGATCAACGCGTGAGCTGTTTTTTTTTTTTGCCGTGCTGCTGTACCCTCTAGGGGTTGTACGAGATGATATTGTGTACGGCTTGGACCCCCTCAAAGCCGACCAACACCAACATTAAGATGATGTTGTATACGGCTTGAAAACCGTTCGAAGCGGACTGGCACCGACTCGGGGTGGAGCGTTTCTAGAGGCTCGTTCTTTTTTTTGCGATAATCTTGGCTGGTTGTAGAGAGTTTTTACATGGCAATACGGTATGCATAGCTGCTGCTGCTTCTGTTGCCAGACGGTGTGTTGATGAACTACACAAGTTTTGCCGAACGTCAACCTTTGCACACATAGTCCATAGTTCCCGAAATATGTACTCTGTGAAATATGTACTCTGTCAGGGATCGTGTTTCGTGAGGGAAAGTACAACCTTTTCACTCATCATATGCACATGTGTGCGCAAACAGACAATGCTTGGACGGCACGGCGCCCCCATGTGTACATTTGTATCGGAAATCAGTCGTGAACCACACTTATATGGGTTCTGACACGTGATTATGTTGGTGCATTCCCGTGCACCCTAGTGATTCCTTCTCCACGGAGCCGTAAAGTCATTATTTCCACATTCGACATTTCTTATCATGCTTGTACCGCTGCGCCCTCGTACTTTGCCTCTCCAGGGAGTCGGCTCTGTCCTGCGCCGACGAGCTGGCGAACTCATTCGGGTTCCAGGACGATAACGTCAGGAACCAGGTCGAGCACCTCATGACGCTCCTGGCTAACCACCGCCGCTACGCCACCTCGATGCCCACCCTGACGCTGCGGTGAGAACACCTGTATACAGCAGCAGAGGACCCTGTTTAGTGCCGATTGAATAAAGCCGGTGTCCCGGTACAGTGCCGGTTTTGTTCGGCTGGGCACAGACTGAGTCACCCATAATTGTTTGCTGTTGAATAGTGCCGGTGTCGGGTATTGTGCTGGTGACATACCAGCGCAGCGCAGGGCCCCCTACTGCTCTTTAGGAGGGATGTGTCTGTCTTGGAGGCGAAGAGAAGTCTGGGGTGCGGACGGGGCGGGGTAGACAAGGACGAGGGGAAATGCCGCTTGTGGAGAATGGCCGTGTGATAAGGCAGCAAGAGCGTGCCGGGAAGGCGTTACGCTGAACGGAATGCGGGGAGTTCGATGTCCACGCTGCTATGCGACGTTACTCATGCCCCCCCCCCCCCCCCC